GAATGTTATAGCAAGACGGAGTACCCAGTAAATCATAAGTGAATACTTTTGGTTTCCTAGACGCACGTTTGGGTCTCAGATTCACATCACCATCAAGATCACTGTCGTGAGGAGGAGGAGGTGGAGGGGGGGAAGAAAGGCTCACCTCTGTCGGCACATTCTCTACCTGACCAATGTTATCCTCAGGTAGCTGGTCAGCTTCTGCCACGTCAGGCTCAGTCACCTGCAGCACCTCATCAGGGCAGCTGTCCTGGCAGGTTGATCTTGTGGACCTCTTAGGCTGTGGCGAATGAGAGCGAGTGCTCAGGTGTCTCGGCACAGAATAATACCCGTCCTCCTCATCATCATCCTCTTCCGAGTAGACCTGTGATGTCTGAGCTGGGCTTGCACTGGACCTGTTCTTTGACTGAGGCTGCAAAGAAGTCTCTAAGGGCAAATGGTCACATGGGAGCAGGAGATTACGATGTAAAGTTCTGGATCTGCCCTTGCCCCTCTCAGGTTTCAGTTCATAAACAGGAATGTCCTTGCTCACTTGACGAACCACTGTGTGTACAACATCCTCCCAGTGGTTTCTCAGTTTGCCTGGACCCCCACGTGGAGTCAAGTTCCTGACTAAGACACGGTCACCGGGCAGCAGAGCAGAATACCTCATTTTACTATCATAATGTCTCTTGCCCCGAACAGCAGCTTTGCTTGCATTCTCCCGAGTGATCTCATAAGCATCTGTCATACCTTGTTTCCACCTCTGCATGTAGGTCTGATGATTACTGTCACCCTGATCTCCACCTGGAGATAAACTGAACAACATGTCCACTGGTAATCGTGGTGACCGTCCGTAAAGCAGGTAAAAAGGGGAAAATCCTGTCACTTCACTTTTAGTAGCGTTATAGGCATAGATAAGTTTGTTTAGTGAGCTCTTCCAGTTACTCTTCTGTTTCTCAGTGAGTGTTTTTAACATCTGGATCAAAGTCCGGTTAAACCTCTCTACTTGCCCATTTCCTTGTGGGTGGTATGGACTGGTTCTTGAGCCTGCAACCCCACAGTACTCTTTCAGCTGGGCAAAAAGTTGGTTCTCAAATTCACCACCTTGATCGTGGTGAAGTCTCTGGGGAAAGCCAAACTTTAAAGCATAGTCGTTAAAGATTTTTTCTGCTGCTGTTTTACCAGACTTGTTAGTGGTGGCATAAGCCTGAGCAAAACGTGTAAAATGGTCAACAATAACAAGTACATACT